CTTTATCGCTCATGTCTTCCTCCATGCAGGGCTGAACGGGCAATCTCGGCACCTGATTGGATAAATCTGTCACATGACTCTCGTATTCTTGTTTCACGGGCATTTGCATAGCGTCCGTCACATGACCTTCATAGTCTTGTTTCATGGGCATGCCCATGCCCGACATGACGTTTACGTCATAGTCAGAAGCCTTCATGCCATGAAGCCCATCCAGGGAGCTGGGGGCGCCACCTGTCATCAGGTTGGACGAATGGGAGGAGACCGGGTAGGACAAGTTTGTGTACGTGGGCGCGCCGCTGCCATAGAGACAGGCCGGGTTGCTAGACAACTGCAGCTGCTCATGAGTCAGGGGACTCGTGTCGTACGGGTAGCTCGGAGACTGAAGGTAGCCACCAAGACCCCCGGCGTAGTTCAGTCCGGTCGGCTGCTCGGCCCACAGGATTTCTTTGATGGAGAAGTTGGAATACATCTCGTCTGCTGATCAGGCGCTTCGAAACGCTGATTCGCAAGGATTTTACACTCGAAATGAGACGCCTTTTCTTTAGCAAGCACAACGATCAGAATTGCATCCACGGCTTTGTTGTTGGAGTTTTCAGCTCTAAGCTGTGAGACATTTGGGGATCCTACTCAGCGTCTACGCCCAAAAGGAAACAGACAAAACTTGAAGGAGTCTTTTAGAAACGGAGAAAAGAGAAAGGGGTCTCTGTTTATGAGCCGACGATATTTGTTAGCATCGAGCTCGGTGAGACAGCCAGAGACGCCTCTAGGCGCAGAGTCTCATTAGTGAAGCTATCCGTCTCGACAGTTGGCAGACGTGAACCTTGGTGCGTCCCGGCGCGGATCCTGTGAACAGAAATTACGTACAAGCATTAGACACAGTTTCTGGAACCACAGGGGGCTGAGTGGAGGCTGGGGGGAGAAAGAAAAACGGGACGGAATGAGGAAAAAAAGAGAGTAAGAAAGAGAGATAGAGAGAGGGGAGGGAGAGAGACAGAGACAGAGACAGAGACAGAGACAGAGAAGAAGAAAATATAAAAAAAGGAAATTAAAAAGACTGAGTAAAAGAGTAAGTTAATGTTAGGGGGGATGTAGTGAAGAGTAAGAGAAGCAACAATTTAGGGATTTTGAAAGCTTTCAGGAGCCCCCGAACCATGATGACATTTCTAACCACACAACTGCCACATTGCTCAAAGGGCAATTTACCTTCGAATCCCCCGACTTACCCTATCCCATCCTACCCGACCTCTGCCAACTCTTTTCTTTTCTTTTTACTGGAAGACTTTCCCGTGCATTGTGGGAAATGCTGTTGCAGAAAAAGTTAATTTCAGAGTCAGTACGAGTGACATTGGTTACGGCATTGTGGGGGAGGTTTTAAAGGTGAGCAAGATCATAATAAAATTTTTACACTGCAAAGAGAAGAAATCTGTCATGGTGCTATGTTACAACATATCCTCCTTTAATCGTCTTGTTGTTTCCTTCAAAGTAACAATTTCGAGTCCTGACAGTGAACTTTGGACCTCCCTGTGAGGAGCAGTTAACTGCCATTGCCAACTAGGTCAACCAGACCAGACCATGAAACAGTTAACTGTATAACCCTTGGGTGGTCCTAAAGATCCCGTAGATCGGGAGAATAAAAGTCGCTTTGCGAACTTGTTTCTCGGTCCAGGACGTAAAATGAATTCTGCACCTTTCAGAAAAAAAATGGAGTTTATGGCCTTTTATACGAGAACAAAGTTACGAGAGATGCGACAGTTTAGTGATTTTGAAAGATTTCAGAAGCCTCCGAACCATGCTAAACTACTATCTGGTGTGATGGTCATCTCCAACAAAGTGACGAGTAGAGAACCTCTTGGGACAACCTATGAAGATACGTGAGGCGTGTTGACAAAATGAGTTACTTCTCGCAATCCACAAATGGGGATATTTTATTGACCAAAACTTGACACTAGGATCAAATTTGCTGATTTTCTATTGATGCTCTATTCCTTAAGTAGATCTATGTCTTTTATTATTTCATACTTATAAATTGCAAAAACTGCACCTATAAGCGCGATGTATCTATTCCCATAGGGCTCGAGTCCGATCGATAAGTAACTCATTTTGTCAGCACGCTAATAATATATCAATGTTCCTTAACAGATGCACTATTGTATTATTTGTCTTGGAATCTTACTGGTTTAACCCCCTTCCCCCCCCCCTCTCATGTGTTCATGGGAGATGGCCTTTAACAATATTGCAATACACTGTATTTTGACGTCCACCTCCAACAGCAATCAGACTGATCGGAGTGGGTGGAAGCTCTTGAAAGTTCCTCAAACAATATTATTATAAGTTCAAGAAGTGCCCGAAGATATTTGAACAGGGTTTTTGTAGGCAGCCCCCCCCCCCCCCCCACTGCACTATCGGCGTGTCTTTGGGAACACGTCTTGTCAGTTGTACCCTATCCGTACGCCCTGGGGTCATTTTGTACCCCTCGGGGTTGTATTCTTTCCATTATAGAATACTTCTAGTACGAAGGTCTCTTTGAAACTTTGAGTATTTCTCAAAAAAGCATTTTGACAGATTGTAATGCAAAGCGTACGGATCAGATTAACGAGTAAATATTCTTTTTGGAAAGTGATGGCACCGAGTTCCCCACGTCGAAGGGTTTATGATAGTAAAACACGACGTACGGATAGGGTTAAATGAGTGAAAAATATTTATTTTCCAGGAATGTTGATGATGTTATAGGAAGAACTTCCTGACCATCTAGAATGTTTTAAAGTTGGAGCTACGGCCACCCCTGGGTTTAATTGTAAACAAAATTAATTAAAAATTTGTTTTTACGTGATTTTGTTTCAGCAACGAGAAGATACATTCGAGTGATGTTTTCAAATCTCACTGGGCTGTGGGCCGAAAATTATGTGTCTTTAAACATATTTTTTACATCGGATTCTTGCAAATGATGATTGGGGGGGGGGGGGTTGCTTGGTTTTAATTTATTTTTCTTAAAACAGACTTCACGAGAGTTCACCCGTCTAGTCCGGTGTTTGTCCCGCCTTGTGTTGTATTATTGTTTTGTTTTCTCATAACGAACAGTCTTTTGGGGCCATTGACGTTGGTTCTTTGTATACACACTTCTCCAAAAAATCAAGAGAGCAGGAAAACAAATCCGACGCAGACTGAATAGATCAAGGTATCACAGCAGAATAATTGAGATGCTTGATGAAAAGATACTAAAACACTCAGGAATCGGCTTTGATGTACATCGGCAAAGATTTTAATTCATAATCACAGAGGTCAGGCGCCATTTCATGAAGATGCCGATAACGCTGAGAACATAAAAATATATTCAAAATACCTCTCACATTGCGTAAACAAAGCTAAAGTTAAGGACACTGTGACATTTCTTCCCCCCAATGTCTTCTCTTAAGCAACAACCTGTAATGAACTTGACTGCTTAGCATTCACACTCCAGAAATGAAGTGCATAATGGAATGATAACATTTCAAAAATGAAACGACACAAAATAATAATATTCTTTTCGAACCGAAAACATTGGCGCGAGATTCCACGCGAGTCACAATCCAGTTCCAACGAGACAAACGTGGGCCGACGTTGAATTCCCATGCTCCTTCTACCTTCAGTTTTGTTTAATTGTGAGTGAATACAAAAAAATGGTCGCTTTTAAGAACAAGCGGGCTAACCCAGGTTTCGGGCGTTTCCAGAAATCTTGACCAACACCAAAAGTGGGCTTTGCTCTACCAAAAGAAGAAGTTTGATTTCATTGGAGTGCATATTATTTGTTTGGTTATAGAGAAAACTCTCCTGATCTTTTAAAGAAACTGAACAAGGGGGCAAAAACTTTACCTTCGATTTTCTCAAAACAGCATTTTTCGGGATAGCCCCCTTGTGCTTAAAAATGACCTTGTGATTTCCGTCTCTAGTACAGGGGTCATAGTTTTGTCATGAAAATGAGTCATCATTTGTTTTGTTATTTTGTTTTTAATTCATACACCGTATTTAACGTTTACATTCTAATTCAAGCAAAAATATGAGATGAATGACAGTGCCTGTTAGCCAAAGTCTGTTTGAATTTAGGTTCATTGGGGGAAGGCGAGGAGTTACTTATTTCTAGCGTCTAATAGTTTGGTCTTACTTCAAAAGAAGTTCCCTTGTAAGTTCTGTTTCTATTTTCGGAGCATTAAAGCGCGCTTTGTTGAGCAATACGTGTACCCACTTTGGGAAATCTCCAGTATGCTTGCAGAATGTTTTTCTCTTATGAGATATCTGGTTGCAGTTTGAGGATCACCCACGTGTGATGTGACGATTCTATGGTGAATGAAATGGTTTACCCTATCCGTACGCCCTGGGTTCATTTTGTACCCCCGGGGTTGTATTCTTCACATTTTAGAATACATCTATTCTAGTACGAAAATCTCTTTGAAACTTTCAGTATTTCTCAAAAAGTCATTTTGACCGACTGCTATGCAAAGCATACAGATCGGATTAACGAGTAAATTTCCTCTTTGGAAAGTGGTGGCACAGAGTTTCAAACGTCGTATGGATGCGATAGTAAAACACGACGTACAGATAGGGCTAACCCTCATACTTAACACTAATTTTCAGAAGGAAAAAATGAAGTAAGTGAAGTTTTTCATATCGTATATTATGTGGCAAAAGCTGTTGGTTTGTGTTTTGATAGCCTGCAGGTGATTCAAACCAGGGTCAACGGCCATGCAGTTCAAGAACGACATCTCATAGGCTAACAGAGAGTAATAAATCGGCTCTAAAACCTAAAGAGCAGCTCTCTAAGACTAAAAAATAACTTTAAAAAACAAACTATTACCTAAACAAACGATCACTTCCCACCTCTCCCCTTGTGTTGTTTTGTTTGTTTGCTTGTTTTGTTAGTTTATTTTGCTTGTTTGTTTGTTTGTTTGTTTATGTGTTTTTGTTGTGTGTTGTTGTTTTTTTTTGGGGGGGGCTGGGGGTTCGATGTCACTATAACTCTGTCAAAGACGTCTGTCTGTCTAAGACAACCACTTTTCTCCTCAGCAATGGGTGGCTGTCTAACACAATGTCGACTGTACATAAAAGGGTAAATCAAAATGATAGCAAGGGACTCAGTAATGACGCTAGGTAGGTACCAGAGCGACAGACAGACACACACAGACACACACATACACACACACACACACACACACACACACACACACAGACACACACAGACACACACACGCACAGGCACACACACAGTCGCACAGACACACACAGAAACACACAAACACCCACAGACACACACACAGACACACACAGAGACACACACAGAAACACACACACACAGACACACACAGACACACACACACACACATGCACACACAGAAACACACAAACACCCACAGACACACACGTAAACACACATACACATGAAGCTAGGTAGGTACCAGAGCACTCATGACACTGGTGTGACCTTCTTGTGATGTCACCGGGCCGTGTGGCAGAAGAGCGACAGACAAACAGACACACACAGACACACGCACACACACAGACACACGCACACACACAG